ACACACAGGAAGTTGAAGCTGTTAACATCAGTTCAACCCTTATTTACCTTCCATGGTCCTACTTCAGAGTTCTGCATTTTTCCTGGAAAAGACAAATCACTAGAACTGCTGCTCAGGATGACTATAATTTCATTGACTGTTGCGTGAAAAACCCAGAATCCTAAACTCAGGCATTAGCAGATAAAATTTTCACTTCATCTTTAAAATGTATTTCAACTTAATTCTATACATAAGTTGTTAGTCATTCGGAATCTTGAAAACGGGGAGGGAAGGGTTTAAAGATGACAGAGTGCTTTATGATGCTCTACGGGCCTTTTGTAGATGAAAATGACTGGGTTAATATTTAAATAGCATCAGTTTACATTGCCCATACAGGTTTTATTTCGACGTATACATATACACACAATTTTGAACACATACTTGAGACAGATAAGAGAGAACATTTCAACATTTTATTCCAATAAGGCTGGCAATTAAAAAACCCAAATAATTGGGATTCCATTTTGAGAGCTTACTTTTGCATAGGTCATCAAGAAAGCATAAGAACCAGGTACTTATAGCATTAGACAACTGGAAAGATGAGCAAAAGCAGCCAATAGGCTGAAGAGCAAGTATTCAACTACCTGTGGCCAAATGGAATAAGGAGATAAAACTATATCCACTTAAGAGTTTCACCTGCTTATACCCGGTCCAAATTTTGTCCGGAATGTTTTATACACAAGCAACTTACTACAGTAAAGGTCAGCCAGTTTCTTATAGAGCGTGTAAGAATAAGATTGTTTGTTCTTCCGTCTCTTGAATGTAAGACCGCTGCTTGGTAATCTACACTTGTGAATCTGTTCTAAATCACCAATTATTAAAGAAAGATTTCAAACAATATGCCCTAATAAAGGGAAGACAATTAAACTGATGAAAATGGTCTTTGGTGCAAAGTGAGTTTGAACTGAATAAGCAATTGCTGCACAGTATCTGTCAACACCACCTTCCGGGAGGACAAATTTTGATTTCCAATATTCCATGCAGAGTTCATGTGAGTTAACAAAAATCAGAATTAAGCATGATGTACACAAGATTTGCACAAGGTCATACAATAGTGTGATTGTATATTACCGTAGTACAGTTCATCAATAAAGCTGTCACAAAGAGCAGGTACATATGACCTTTTATTAAAAGTAATTAATTTGGAGCAAGACTTGACAAACATTTCATAGTCTACCCCATACCATAGTGCCCCACAGCAGCAGTAGGGGAGCAGCCTCTGCAGATACTGCCATAGCAAAAGCCCCTGACTAGCATCATGTAAGTTTCTCACTGCTGCTGTGGAAGAAATAGCAGCAACAGAAGCATAAAAGCAACTTACTCCATTCAGTCAAGAAATTCAGATAAACTCTGGATTGCAAAATTCCTGTAATACCATAACAAAAACTTTTGTCCCTTTTCTGGCTTCCCCTTATCTTTCCCTAACGCTTAAGTCACTTTTCCTTGTCCTCAATACCCTGCACAATTTTATTTCAAACACAAACTCTGCCCAACACCTTTCATCCCTCCCTTGCCCCTTCACTCTATCCTGGTCACACAATGTGCCCCTCTCTGTATGTTCCTTCTCACTTAATGTGCCTTTTTCTATATACAGCAGAACCCCGTTTATCTGACCCTCCATTAACCAGCTCTGTGTGTTAACCAGACTATCAGCACACTGAGGGCGATCTCTCCTGTGGCCGCTAGATGGCACTGCAGCATTGCACTTTCCCATTCTCTGGTTTATCTGGATTTCTGATTATCCCATCTGGCCCCATCCCAATTAGATCAGATAAACAGAGTTTTGCTGTATCTTCCTATATTCCTCATTGCCTCAGTCCTTTATATCACCACCTTCTCTTCATTCAAATCCCAGCTCAGCAGATCCCTTCATCCCAAAAAGCTTATGAACTCTAAATTTACATTTGTAAAGCATTTTAGGATCCTTCGGGTAAAGAAAAGAATATAAAAAGTAGGGCAGTCAATTAATCACAGTTAACTCACACGATTAACTCAAAAAAATTAATTGCAACTAAAAAAAATTGTAATTAATTGCGGTTTTAATTGCATTACTAAACAATAGACTACCAATTCAAATTTATTAAATATTTTGGATGTTTTTCTACATTTTCATATATATTGTATTCTGTGTTGTAATTGAAATCAAAGTGTACATTATAAATAAAAGAAATAGTACCGTAGTGCAAATTCTGTCGTGAAAGGGCAACTTACAAATGTAGATTTTATTTTTTTGTTATATAACTGCACTCAAAAACAAAACAATGTAAAACTTTAGAGTCTACAAGTCCACTCAGTCCTATTTCGTGTTCAGCCAATTGCTAAGACAAATAAGTTTGTTTTCATTTACAGGAGATATGCTGCCCTCTTCTTATTTACGTCACCAGAAAATGAGAGCAGGCATTTGCATGGCACTTTTGTAACTGGTGTCGCAAGACATTTACATGCCAGATGCGCTAAAGATTCGTATGTCCCTTCAGGTTTCAACCACCATTCCAGGGGATATGCGTCCATGCTGATGATGGGCTCTGCTCGATAACAATCCAAAGCAGTGCGGACTGACACATGTTCATTTTCATTATCCGAGTCAGATGCCACAAACAGAAGGTTGATTTTCTTTTTGGTGGTTTGGGTTCTGTAGTTTCTGCATCGGAGTGTTGCTCATTTAAAACTTCTGAAAGCATGCTCCACACCTCGTCCCTCTCAAATTTTGGAAGGCACTTCAGATTCTTAAATCTTGGGTCGAATGCTGTAGCTACCTTTAGAAATCTCACACTGGTACCTTCTTTGTGTTTTGTCAAATCTGCAGTGAAAGTGTTTTTAAAATGAACATGTGCTGGGTCATCATCCAAAACTGCTATAACATGAAATATATGGCAGAATGCAGGTAAAACAGAACAGGGGACATACAATTCTCCCCCAAGGAGTTCAGTCACAAATTTAGTTAACGCATTTTTTTTTTTTAAACAAGCGTCCTCAGCATGGAAGCATGTCCTCTGGAATGTGGCCATGGCATGAAGGGACAGCATAGAAATATTCAGCTTATCTGTCATGTAAATACCTTGCAATGCCGGCTACAGAAGTGCCATGCAAATGTCTGTTCTCACTTTCTGGTGGGATGAGCAGTTGCAGGAAAAATCGTGCTCAGTCTCTGCAGAATTTGCTCAGTCACTCTGTGGAGATGGTACATGCACCAGCAATTCCAGATAGGTGCTGTGAAGAGACGGAGCATGACCAGTGCAGACGGAATCACTAAAGAATTGAGCTGCACAACTCTAAAGTTTCTACTGAGCATGTGTGAAATAATATTTTTCCCAAGGCTTAAAATGTCACCAGAGTTTCACACCAACAGAAAAATTTACATCCCTGACACTAGGGCAACCTCCCAGCCAAATTTCAACCCCTTGCTCCAAAGCATTGGGGCACTAGATTTTCCCAATGCAAAATCTGAAAGATTAAAGGCAAAACATTTTTTTCCTAGTCTCATTCCCTGAAAGAGCTCAACTGTTTTATCTGAAACTTTTTTTAAAATAAATTTAGCTCAAGGCAGAACTCCCAACACAGAAGGATTCAGCCTGAACAGTTTAAATTTAAAAAGCTATAAGCAACTGAAAACAGGGTCTTTTAATGGACAGTGTGGGGCAACCATAATTGCCAGTGTCACTAGCTGTACCACCTGTAGTTACACCTGATATCCTGATAAAAATATGATTTTTAAATTGTTTTAAACTTTAACATTTATTTAAAACTATTCTGTAGGCATGCTTGACTGCAGAAGCTGGGTTTCATGCAAGCTTACTTTATTAGTTTTCCTCTTTCATCCATTTTCTTTAGACAAACTGCTGTAGTACTCGTACTGTGTGCCCACAGCTCCTATTGGCATTCAGATGTTGAGTGTTCTACTGAGCCTGAGAAGGAGCTCCAAGAAGCTATAGCAACCCAGTGGAGTTTTATTCCACTTCTAAGCCTTCTAGAACTCCATATGCTGTGAGAGTTAGTATAAATAACTTTGTTGCCAACAAGTTTAATTTATAAACCAAGTCTTCTACTCTAGCTACCAAGATGAACACAATCTGTCATCACAGATACAAGTACTGCTTTCTTTCCACCAATGAAAGTAAAACAAGAGATGGCATCTTTCCCTCTCACAAGTCCAGCTGACCAACTTGCATACTCAAAGTTTTCCAAATTAGGAAAAGATCTTAACATACATACATTCACCTCATTAGACTCAACTATGTACCACCCAAGTTCTCCAATCCAGTAGTCACTGGGAGGGGAGGGGGGTCGTCACTCTCCAAAATAATCTCACTAAATAATTAAACAGTAACAGATTTTAGAAAGCACATTTAGCTTTTTTACACATTAGTCAATACTTCCAGTAAGCCATAACACAGTAAACGTCACATACTAAATAAGAACTTAAACGTGGAATTAAAATGGTCACAAGCACATAAAATTAAACAAAATGATGACTAGCTGCATGCATTAGGTACAGGCTTAAGACAACAACAGCTTACTCTTCAATGTACTCACAATTCTGATTGAGCATAAAGGAAGAAACTGGTACTGTTTAGTTGAAAAGCTTGCAGTGCAGGTTGCAAGGGAAAAAATGATCTGTCTAGGTACTTTTTATGACTCTACTCACTGTAGTGTTTTAGCACTCCCCCAAATGAGAAAAAAAAATCTTTCCCTACCCATCCTCTCTTTACTGCTTGTAGGAATACCTTGAAAGGTAATAAGTATGTGTGGATGTGGGAGAAGTTGTGGGGGGAGGGAAAGAAGTGGAGACCTAGAAATGTACTGCTCTAAAGATATTTTAATACAGACAGAAGGTTCTCAAGCAACAACAGATTTTAAAACATGAAATTCCACATTCAGGTGTAACAGGCTTGGTGTCAACCTACACTGCTATTTTATATACAAATAGAAATCATAGCTTATCTCTTGATAAACGTTTGTACCTTGATCTGCTGTCTTCTGAGCATTGCAAGTTCCCTCATATCTCGGAATGGCTGTAGTAGATATTGGTACAGTTCTGTGGTAGCTTCAGCAAGACTACTGTAGGCTTCATCTTCCATTTGATACAGTTCAAGCAGCTCTACCATGCTTTCTGTATTCTTGTGTTTTTCCAACAGCTATATAAAAAGAGAAAAGAAATATTACTTCAAAATTTCCTGCTAACAAATTTGATCCCCCCGACTCCTCCCAAAAAAATCCACTTAGACATGAAAAGTTCCATGGCACAGCTTACCATACTAAGGAAGGAACTAAGCCAGTCAAGTCTGAACAGCCCTTTGATTACTGAACATCCAGAGTTGAGGTTATCACTGCTTTCCAAGAGTTTCCTGAAACACAATGGCACTGGAGACATAGCCATAAGTGGAGCTAGGAGGATGAAGTCTGATTTACTTTTCACCAGTTATGCCATTTACTTATTGCATTTCACTCCATTTAGACAAAAAAAAAAAAAAGAGAGAGGTCAGGTTTTGATTTTTCTAGTTGTTATTTTTTAATACCACAAAGATGAGAGATGCATCACAGAAAACACAAGACAAGTGCATTATCACAAAGGACTTACAATCTAAGTCCTGGCCTTTCGAGCTGCTCCACATATGGGGACCTCAGGGGCCCAAAGAGCCCTGATGAAGTCACTGCAGTTCCACACAGGTGAAAGGGTTTGCCTGTGTGGCGCAGCTTGCAGGACAGTGGCCTACATTTCTAGTCCATTTTACTTTCTGGTTCATGTGCTTTAGCACGTTTTATTATCTAGGTTACAAATGAAGCAAACAATGTCTTAAGAGTTTAAGGCCAGAAGGGACCACTAGCTCATCTAGTCCAAACACCTGTGTATCACAGGCCACCCGCACCACCCAGCATACACATGCTAAACCCAACTGAAATGAGACCAAAGTATTGCTGCCCATTGGAGATGAGACTACTATATGCAAAGAACAGGGGGAACCAAGATACACAAACACCCAACTCCCCCTCAGTGACAGGGAAATGATTGAGAGATACCCAGAAGATCCTGGCAAGTGACCTACACTTCCATGCTGCAGAGGAAGGTGAAATAAAATCCAAGGTGTCCCCAAACAGTTTTCATTAGAATTAAAAAAAGTTGTGGATGTATTGTAAACTTTGTACAAGTCCTAAATTTGAGGCCTAAATCAACCTAAAACTGTTTCCTCAAGAAAGTGACCACTTGTACAATCTTCTCTTAAAATACTGTCTGTACATAATCCTAGTCAGTCAGATAAAACAGAAACTTTCACAAATTTGTTACGTTAAATTTTTATCTCATATGCCTGCTTTGAGACCATTTCGTGTACATGCCTTGGCAGGTCAGGCCATACAACTTAACTCATTTGCCCATATCTAGAAAGCCACTTACTGATTAGCTAAAGCTAATGATTAAAATAAATAAATAAATAAACAAAAACAAACCAACCAACCAACCACACCAATTCCCCTACCCTTTACCTGGGATGTCTCCAAGTATCTACACAAAAAGCAGATTATCCTATTAGCCTTATTATCAGCCACAGAAAAAAAATCAAAGCTCATTTTTGTGTTACTGCTTCAAAAGCTTATACTCTGCTTATATCACACATTACATTTTTTCTGACCCATACATACAAAATTATTTTAACTTCCCCTTAAACTAAGTCATATCTTCTAGTTTTTTTTTTTATAGTTTTAAAATGAAACCCCCAAACTACAAGCATGCCAAGTATACCTTAAACCAAGTTGTGGTGTCAGGAACTGTTACCGTCTCTCTGATCCAGTAAGTGACGTCTTAACTCCAACAGCATGGACATTCCTGACAGTGTAGTCGCTAAAGAAAAGCCACCCCCTCCCTCAACTCCTTTCCGTCTCATTCTTTACTCATTTCCTCAGTTCTGCCAATGCCATTCTTTCACCTCTAACTTGCCCCAAATTTTCTATTGCCTGCCACTTTTTTAAAAAGTCCTCCCATAGTCTTGGCACAGCAATCTTCCCTCTGTCAGAGAACTAAAGAAAGCAGCCTTATTTCTTGTTGTACTTATGCTGGGCACTACTTTAAATGTCTCCACCTTTTAAGATTCTAGAATGTCAATCCCACAGGAAGGAAATAAGAGTAACTTTAATTCTTTCATTGTTTCTGGAAGAATCATAAGCAGTCTTACATCAAGAACTCAACAGCATGAATGTAACTTTTACTAATTATTCTATACTGTAGTTTATTATTATTTCAAGGCATATCTAAGTGCTCTGTGATATTCTGGGAAGCACACAGTAATCCTGCAGAAGGAAGTTTTGGTGGATAAATGCTAAGTGAAGGGCTGAGACTCAAATTTATAGAACTTTAAATTTGTCTTTTCTTTTTGAATGCTGAAAGTATAGGTACGTATATAATAGCTGTATATGAAATCAAAGTTAGAGTGCTTATATTACTATATAAACCCATAAATGGAAAAAAACGATAGCATAAAATAAAGTATCTCGAAAATCCATGATGAAGGATTACTTACCTTACAGTAATGGTCATTCTTAGAGATGTGATGTCCATGTGGATTCCACTCTTAGTGCGCATGCACTCCACAAGCATGAGATCAGATTCTCTTTGGCTTGCAGTGTTTGTTGGGGCTGCACCTGCACCCTAGATCCCCTTAAACCCAGCCACTCAAGGTCATAAAGGATGCTTCAGGCCAAACAATCCTTAGTTCCTTCACCAATATAGAATCGCACAGAAACAGAACTCGTAGAAGCAGAGAAGGGGAGAGGTCATGGAATCGGTGTGGATAGCACATCTTGAAGAACTACAGTTACTGTAAAGTAAGTAACTGTTCTTTCTTCAAGTGATTGTCCCTATGGATTCCACTCGATGACTAAGAACCAGTTGTCTCTTTGCTTGGAGATGGATACTAGGGGTTCTAATTAAACAATGACTGCAGGACAGCCTTATGAAAACAGGCATCCAATCTGGAAGCCACTACCAAAGACTAATACCCTATAAGGTGTGAACATAGCTCCACATAGCTGCCCTATGGATTTCAGAAACAGGGACGCTCTTCAAACAGGCAGTAGAGGCTGCCTGATCTCTAGTGGAATGAGCTCTAGTGTGGATAGATGGATCTGACTTGACTAACTCGTACCATGTTTTTATATAGTTGCAGACCCCATTTAGACTACCTCAGTGAGAATACTGACTGATCCATAACCCTCTCTACAAAGGCTAGAAACGGTCTAGATGTCCCCCAAACAGGGAGCAACATATGGAACATTGCTTGGGGATATGTCCCTCTCCTAAGCAGAGAAGGCACCAGGAGTGCCAGTTATTAGCCAGCAAAGCTTCACATGAGGGATAGGTCTTAAATCCTAGAGAGATTTAGCTTCTGTCATGTTAGTAGCACCCCTGCAGGAAGCTATGGAAGAGAGGTGGGGAGCACAGGGGATGTCATGTCTAGCCTAACCAAAAAAAACTTATCTAAACCAAAATAAACCCCAACACACCACAATGTCAAAACCTTTATTGTCTATAAGACCTAACAACTAACACTAGCTATTTTCAAAGAGAAAAGTAGACACTGCAGGGGTTCTATAAAGGTGGTAAGAAGGAACTAAGGCAGAGGTGGGCAAACTACAGCCTGCGGGCCACATCCGGCCTGCGGGATCGTCACACCTGGTCCCTGAGCTTCTGGCCCAGGAGGCTAGCCCCCAGCCCCTGCCGTGCTGTCCCCGCCCCCCCACAGCCTCACCTCGCTGAGCCGTTGGCGCTATGCTCTGGGCAGTGAGGCTGCAGAGCCCGGTCTGACCCGGTGCTCTGTGTTGCACAGCTGCCTGTCCTGGTGCAGCCGTGCTGTCAGCCACCGGTGCTCCAGGCAACACAGTAAGGGGGCAGGGAGCGGGTTGAAAATAGGGCAGGGGAGTTCAGGGGATGGTCAGGGGCGTGGACAGGGGTCGGGGTGGTCAACAGGGGGGTTGAATGGGGGCAGGGGTCGTCCAGGGGACAGGTGGGTGGATGGGGCAGGGGTCCGGTCTTAAAGGGGGGGCAGTCAGGGGTGAGGAGTCCAGGGGCGGTCAGGGAGAAGGGGTGGTAGGATGGGGCAGTGGTTCCAGGGGGGGCAGTCAGGAAGAAGAAGGGGGTTCAGATGGGGTGGCAGGGGGTCCAGGGACAGTCAGGGGACCGAGAGCGGGGGGTGGTGGATGGGGCAGGAGTCCCGGGGGGCCGTTAGGGGGCAAGAAACGGGGGGGGAGGGTGGGGCGGGGAGAACCAGGGTCATGCCTGGCTCTTTAGGTAGGCACAGCCTCCCTAACCGGCCCTCCATACAATTTCAGAAACCTGATGCAGCCCTCAGGCCGAAAAGTTTGCCTGCCTCTGAACTAAGGGAAGGTTGCCTGCTCCCCCCTCTGTAGTCTAGGGTAGAGGGACATGAGGCATCTAGGACGCAGGCTGATCAATGGACACTGCTGACCAAAAAGAATAGTCTCGTGTATGAGGTGCATGCACACCAAGAATTGAATATGTGTAGACAACCACTCAAAGAAGAACTAAACCTTACCTTCATTCCCATTTACAAGGCTTGTCTACACTGGGAAGTTTTATCAATTAAACTAATGTCAACAAGGGAAAAATCGACAAAAGCAAAGTTACCGAAGTGTGTCTATATTTGCTCCCTCTGTTGACAGATCGTGTCCACATTCAGGGCACCTTTGTCGACAGCAAGAGCAATGGACTGTGGGTACGTATCCCACAGTACCTGGCAACACCATCCGTCGCTAGATGTTGTGGGAATGCGGAAACAGAATGCAGCACATTCTGGGATATGCAAAATGTACCATCATGCACCTCTTTGTGTCCCACCCCTCCAAAGGTCGCTGGCTTTCTTTCGTGCCGTTTTTCCAATTGTCATTCTTTTGTAGTGCGTGCCAGCATCTGCAGTGAGAGGGTGGATCCCGCACTTCTCTCCTATGCGCTGTTAGCTGTCGTGAGGACATGGTGCATGGCAGCACAGTTACTCACAGAGTTACTCGCAAAGTTAGCAGAGCCTGAATCGCAGTCACCCGAGTGTGATATGGACGGCAGCAACGTATCAGTGCTTTGTGCATTCGTAGAGCAGCTGAATACGGTAGAGCATCGCTTTTGGGCTAGGGA